GCACCCAGTAGCTGTATGTGTGTGTGTGTTTTTGTGTCTGTGTCTGTGTGTGTGCGTATGTGTGTGTGTGTGTGTGGGTGTGTGTGGGGGTAGGTGTGTGGGTGGGTGTGGGTGGGTGGGTGGGTGTGGGTGGGTGGGTGGGTGTGGGTGGGTGGGTGTGGGTGGGTGGGTGGGTGGATGTGTGGGGTGGGGAAGGGCGAACCGCCCGGTCTGGCGGTTGGAGAGCGAAGCCTCTGGATATCCTTTGTTTCTTGGGGTCGCGGTAGAACCTCGCCCTCTCCAGACAGCGGTAGGCCCGGGGATCCCCGGCGCGAGAGCCCAAGCCAGTGATCTAGAACGGATATTGGCACTGTAGGTGCGTCTTCCCTGTTGACGCTATAGGCGCGTCTACCCGCAGAAACGCTGATGCATGCCGCGCGCAATTGGCCGAAGGCCGCCAGTGGCTCCAACGTCACGGGCAAACATCGACGTAGGGCAAACCTGGGCTATCCCACGTCCCACAGGCCATCGATCCAAAGGCGGGTCGAAGCAACGTTCGAAGCCCATCGTGCCCGGTCCTGCTCATCGATCGGCCGTCCCCCAATGGCGTCTCCTCCTTCAGAACCCTGGCCTGTTTTCGATGCAGGGCCGCAAGCTAGCAGGGGGGGAGCCGCCCGCCTCCTTCCAGGCAAACTGGAAGAGCTTCACGGCGAAGGCGTTGAACGCCGCGTGCGTCTCGGAGCTGAGGCCCAGGCGCATGACCTTCCAGGAGAGCATCAGGCGGAGGAGGAGGAGGAGGAGGAGAAGGAGGGGGAGAGGGAGGAGGAGGAGGAGGAGGAGGAGGAGGAGGAGGAGGAGGAGGCAGAGGAGGAGGAGGAGGAAGAGGAGGAGCACAGCGTTCAAAGCTGTTTGTAACCCAGGCCCCCTACCCCAGGCCCTCGGACAGTCCTGGCCTTTCCAGGACGTCGGCCTGCTGGTGGAGCTCCGTGGCGCAACCCGCCGACGTATGGGAGCATGTCATTCGATGATTCTCAATGGACGACTGGGACAGGGAGCGGAGAGGAGATAAGGCAGACGCAGCAGCAGAGAGACACAGCCGAGGAGAGGAAGGAAGAGAACGGGGAAGCGCCAACTGGCGTGTGAACAGAGGTAAAGCTTGATCCCGAGCAGGATCAGCACTGGCAGAGGAGGAGGAGGAGAAGGAGGAGGAGGAGGAGGAGGAGATGGAGGAGGAGGAGGAGATGGAGGAGGAGGAGGAGGAGGAGGAGGAGGAGGAGGAGGAGGAGGAGGAGGAGGAGGAGGAGGAGGAGGAGGCGGCAGTGCGTCGGCAGCAACGCCTTCTCGTGCTGCTCTACCTCCAGGTGGCGAGGAGGAGGAGGAGGAGGAGGAGGAGGAGGAGGAGGAGGAGCAGGATGACAAAGAGGAGGAGGAGGAGGAGGAGGAGGAGGAGAAGGAGGGGGAGAGGGAGGAGGAGGAGGAGGAGGAGGAGGAGGAGAAGGAGGAGGAGCAGCGGCAGCAGAGCACCCACTGCAGGACCCCTCAGGGCTCAAGGACGAGGGCACCACCGTTCCGAGCCAGAAACCATGGCCGACGCCAAAAAACGAGAACAACCGTGCCGCGGGGTCAGGAGTCCAGAATGCATCCTGCCGCGCGACCCCTCGAGGAATGGCCAGCACTGAGCGATAACACCATTGCAAACTGAAGATGTTTCGTACAGCTCTGGCGAGAAGACCAGTGTTGGAGATTTGCTCTGTTGGAAATCCAGGCTGGGAATGCGGCCAACGCTTAGGCAAGGGGAAGGCCTCTAGGCCGCAGGTCCGGATCCGCCCCCCACGCGACAAGGAGCTGGCAGCGCTGAGTCGGGGGCGGCCAAGAGGGGGGCGTCCAAGAGGGGGGGGGCGCAAATCATGGCCAGCGGCACGTGCGCGGCCCAGGGGTGGGGCCAGGGACGTTATTGAAACAAGAAGAGGCGCCATGAAATCTGGGGAGATATCATGGCCCCCACCATGATATCCCCCCCCCAATCACTACCCCCCCCTTCGCCGACCCCGACTGAGGCGAGAGCACCACTCCGAGACAGCGGAACGATCGGTGCTGACTCGAGAGCTCCCCTCCTGAGGACGGTGGCGGGCACGAAGGCGACAGCCCTCGGGCCACGAGTCCAGGCCACGAGCTGAGAGGGAGAGCGCCACTCCGAGCTGGCACTGTGGGGGCACTGGGAGTGCGAGAACTGGGCTCGGGTGGTTTAGCGAATCGTTTTTTCTCAAACCCTTCCTTCCACAAGAAGCCCAAGCCTGAGACCCCAGGACGTCTATTGGCTTTTGGTGTGGGAGCGTCACGCTCTCCATCGCAAAATCATCGAAACCCAAGGCACCCTGAAGGCAAGCAGGGTTTTTCTTGGCATGGGTATCGACTGTTGCCCCCCCTGCCCCTCCACGGGGGTCTGGGCGGGGGTGGGAGCGCGAGGGGTCGGAGCGTCCTCGATGGCCCCAGGACAGTACCAAAATGGCACCAGATTGCCCATCCCGAGGATGCAACCGAGAGGCCAATGCCAACAGGAAAACTACAATTGTTCAACGATGTCGGGCATATCCTAAATGTTTAGTTTATGCGAATTGCACTGCCTGACGGGTCATACCTTGTGGCAGGCAGATGTATGTTCGGCCGCCGAGGGCGCAACGGCGCAACCAATAGCAGGCCCTTTCACTTTCGGCGCCGCAGAGGGCGCAACTGATGGCGCAACAAAAAGCAGGCCGTCTTACTTTTGGTCGCCGAGGGGGCGACTCATGTCGCAACCGAAATCTGTCAAATTTGCAATCGTCGCCGCTAAGGGCGTAGCATATAGCCCAACTAATAGCAGGTCGTTTTATTTCCACCCGCCTCAGACGCCACCTATGGCGGCATCCCATGAAACTCGCAACACATGAATAGCGCAATCCATAACGCGCCTCATTGCGCAACCAATGGGTGGCGCAATCCACCGAACAGAATATGGCGCTACCTATGGCGCTGCCCGTGGATGGCGCCTAACTTTCGGCCCCACTCATGGGACAAGCACGAGCTGTATCGTTTGGACGCGTTCCAAGCGCGATGCCTGCGCAACGTGTTGCGCATTCCCCATTCATACATCAGCAGAGTCTCGAACGACACCGTGCTTCAACGGGCCAGCGCCCGCCCACTTAGCAGCACGCTCCTCTGTAGACAGCTTCTTTTGCTTGGTCATATCGCCAGAAAGCCAGGCGACGACGCTGTGCGTTGCGCAGTGTTCCAGCCCTTTTCCTCCCTCCTCCTCCCCCCTCCCACCCAGAGAAAGAGGGGGCGACCACGAGCAACGTGGCCCCAGGAAGTTTGCAGGCACGCCTGCGAAGCAGCTGGGGGTGTGGAGGCCCTTCCAGCGCTTTGGCAGGACACCATTTCTTCGGCGCCACGGCGTGGCGTGTCGCAGTCAGCAAGTATTGCGATGCCACGTTATAGTGGCTATGTGCTCATGTGCGTTTCGTACTCAGCATTTGCTTGCTTCCTTGCTCATGGGACAACCCATGGGCGGCGGACCCCATGGCGCAGCCGATGTGGAGAGCGGGAGGGGAAGGAGCCACGTGGCTGGTACCAGGAGGCTTTGTGACGACTGAAGGAGGGCGGGCGGGGATGCGACGGAGGGGCGGTGAGCACAGACAAAAGGAAGAGTGCGAGGGATGGATGAGACAGATGGGCCGGCGGTGGACAAAAGATGGATGGGGGGCGGGTTGGAGGGCACTGCGAATTTCGATGCGTAGGGCTCGGGGGAGGGGGATGACGTGAAAGAGGCGACGGGGCAGGGACGAGGAAAGAGAGAGAGTACCGGAGAGGGAGAAGTAGGGGGAAGGGGGGGGGATAAGGAGAAAGAGGTGGACAACGTCGACACAAACGCCGATGACGAGGCCGAAGCCGAAGAGGAGCAGGCCGACAAGGACCACGACGGTAGACGGTTAGCCCTCCGAGTTTCTACGGAGCTATGTCCGACGGCTGCTCGCATAATGGGCGGGCGGTAGTGCCCAAGCGGCGCGCTGTCTTGTGATGTTTGTTTTCTCGCCTTTCGGCGAACCGATGGCAATATGGGCCTAACGAAGCCACAGGAGAAGCGCAACAATGCCCACATGTGTGTCTAAATGCCCTCAGGAGCACCAGAGCAGAGCTCCGCGAAACGATCTTTCGTCCACCAAGGGGCGAAAATAACCAGGCCCCACCCGGGACGGCCTCAAGAGGGACCGGGAGGTTCATAACAGAATTTCAAGGAAATGCCAAAAGGGGCCGCAGTCTCCGAAGCGTGCCCCAGCACAGCCCAAACATGGCTCCATATATGCTTCTTCACTGCTTATGCTTCAGCGCTAACTATCACCGAGGGTGCATAATGCCTCTTGGATGATGGTGTCACGCCACATGAGCAGAGCAACATGCGAAGCTGTTGCACTCAATTTCGGGCATACCTGCGATGCAAATGAATTATTCGGGCACGTCTCCCTCGGTTGCCCATAGAAATACATGCTTTCAGGCGTAGTTGTGGAAAGCGTGCTCGATTCCCAAATGTCGAGGCCCCACGGCAGATAAGCCACCAAGAACAACATGTCAGAACTGTGCTGCTGGACTGCGCGGAACCGAAGAAACCAAAACAAATGACCTGTGTGCCACGAAAGCATTGCAGTCTTGACCTTCAGCTGGCCTTTGCTGCAGCTGCAAGCAGATATTCCATCATCAATACTGGCGTCGCCGTTGGCGATTTGTGTTCTGATTTGGTGGCGCTTGTAGTCCTGTTGCACAAACCGCCTCACAACCTCAGACAGGAATCGATTTCGACACGCAGGTGAACGATGAAAGAAAGGAACACCCCTGTACAACATCTCCCTCGCATTACACACCATGTACTTCCTGACTGGCCAATGGTCGCAAGATAAAGAGATTCGATGGGACGCAACTGCAGCCAACTTTGGAAGAATGGTGGACTGCCACGCCTCAACAACATTCAATATTTGAACACTGCCGTAAAATCAAATTTCCCCTCCTCGTATCTGCGACCAGGCTGAAAGACCAACGAAGGCGCTCGCCTTGTACTCCCATAATTCCAGCCCCCAGGGTGCGTACACGCCCAAAACTAAGTCGTCGAACTTCTGAGTCTTCACATTTTGGGAACTCGAGAACCACCGCTGGCAGCGTTCGTCCCACAAGAAGCAAGAGCTCTTAAACTCAATCCGGCGGTCGCTCGCATTCATCTTGCGCCGCCAATCGTAGACCGCATTGCGCCCGCCTCGCCGCTTCCCAAAGCTTGTCACACCGTTCTTCGCGTCCCGCGTATGGAACATATCACTGAACTCATCGCACTGTCGGGCGATATCCTCCAACATAAATCCTCGGCGGGCTGGTGTCATGTCGAAAAACGGAACACCAACATACTGTGACCCCCCAACGTGCTTGCAACTTGAGCGCAGGGACCGATGGAGGAAACGCGGTGGGACCATTTAACTGCGAAGCAGCAATAGTTCAGCCCGACACGGGTCAGAATGACTTGAACCAAATTGGATAGATTCAAACGGCTGCGAGCACCCAAGTTGGCCATTGTTTGGGCTGCGCGGTCTGACCCTTGCTCAAGATTGATTGTTGTTCCCACTCGTTGCTCCCCGAAGGCTCCTCTACTACAGCCGAGGCGGTGATTATAGAACGGTTGATCGAACAACACTGGGCCAGCATTCTGTCCAAATCTTGCGCAAACGTCACGACACGGACAAGGAAGCTGGCCCAGCTTAGTGGAACCAATCGAAGAAACTCTGGACCAATACGGGCAGGGGAGGTTTCTTAGATGACTAGCGAAGCTGTGCCCTTCTTGGGACAACTGCGACGTCGACCGAGCGACTGGCCTCTTCGTCGTGTCTGTGGCGCGCACGAACCTCCTCGAGGGCACCAGCACCCGCAAGGCTCGCTACCCCCCTCTTTAGATGCTCGTTCTAGGGACCTCCCAGGCGCCAATCGTTCCATTCATGCGTCGATGCTGCGTCGAACGTCCGTCAACTTGAGTCTAACCTGAGTCGACCTCGGAGAACTAGAGTCGAGCTAGAGCCAACGGGATCCTTTAGGTGGGCCACAGGAAGGTCCCCCTTACGAAGATCTGACACTCTGCCCCCGAATGGCAAGTCGTACGCGCCACAGCCGTAAAAAGAAGGCCAGATAGAGACAAGATCTCTTTAAGGTTGTGACGCCTACGACTTGCCATTCGGGGGCAGAGGGTCAGATGCTCGCATGGGGAACCTCCTGAGGCCCACCTGACGGATCTCTTCGGCCATAGCTCGATTCTATCCGACTCAAATTCCGGGGAAACCAAAAAGTACCGGTACCGCTACCCTTCGTCCGTTTTTCCATTTTTTCAGCCTCTTCGGAGGCCCGGGGCGCGCTCTGACCATGATTTCGAGGCGAATCCAGCGGTGGCGATGAGGGCCTCCGAGGCGGCCGAGAAAACATGAACAACGGACGGAGGGCAGCCGTATCAGTACCTCTTCCTCCTCCTCCGAAGCTCGACTCGAGTCGGCGGACGTTCGACGCAGCATCGCCGCACGAGCGGAGCGGGCGCAGAGACGGCTCCGACTCGCCGCGAGCCGACGGCCTCGCGGATGGGGTGTGCCGGGCGCCGCGGCTGGGCCGCCGACGGCGCCCCTGGGGGGGGCTCTCGGAGGGCCGGCAAGAGAGAGCCACACCGAGGCGCGAGGGGCGGCTGAGGGGAGCGAGGCCGGTGCGCGAGGAGCGGCAGAGGGCGAGGGGGGCAGGGAGAACGCAGCGAGCGGGCGCGGCAGGGAGGATCTGGCTTCCAGGCCCAGCCGTCCTCGTGCGGCAGGGAGGGGGCTTTCTGGGGAAGCGGCCCGACCCCCCTCTTCCCCCTCTCCCCTCCTCCTTACCGTTCTCCTCCAAGCTCCTCCTCCTCCTCCTCCTCCTCCTCCTCCTTCCCCCCCTCTTCCTCCTCCTCCTCCTCCTCCTCCTGCTCCTCCTCCTCCTCCTCCTCCTCCTCCTCCTCCTCCTCCTGGTCAGCCTTCCTCCTCCGCCGCCGCCTCCTCTTCCTGATCCTCCTTCCCTGCTCCTCATGATCCTACTTCTCTGTCGCCTGCTCCTCCTCTTTCCATTCAAGACTAGTGCGATCTATCAGGGTTCGCCCCGAGTTGCCCCCATGGCGCCCCTTGCGGATCAGTCCTGTGAAGCCCTCAAGGCTGCAGGCTTCACAGCCCAGAAATCAGCCAGCGTCCCGAAGTAGAGCACTCTATAGTCATATGAAGTCCCCTGCGTGGAGAACTTAAGTGAGGGCAATGAGCGGTAAGTTCTCAAGACTTTGGGGGCGTTCTGGTCCTGTGCCGCGTGACTCTTGACGAGAACCTGAAAACGTTCTTCGGGACCCGAGATTCCAACATGCCCCGACATGGTCCCAAGGGACACGGGCCTGTCTTGGAGTATTGTCATACTCTTTGGTAACAGTGGAAGCCATGGGGGACGGGCTAGGAGTCCAAGTTAATATGAACTTATCCCTCTCTACTCTTTGAGCCCAAGAGCGTCCGAAACGGCCAAGAAGCCCCCAATGTCCTCGTAAGACGGCCCCAGAGGCTCAGGAAAAGGCCCCGCCTCCACGACGGCCTCAACAGGGGACAAACCATCGCACTACCGCCAGGCTGCTTGAAGACTCTCCGTCAAGATAGGCCGAAAGACCTCCCAGAGGTCCCCCAGAACCCCCCAAGACGCCTTCGAGAAGCCTCCAAGAAACACCAAGAGGTCCCCACAGCGCTGGGGGGATCGCGCTGTAGAACAGTCGATGTACGCTGTTGTTTGCGTGTTCTTGCTCTCTCTCTCTCTCTCTCTCTGTTCTCTGTCGCTACCTTTTTGCCGGCTTCTTCTTCCTGCTCGCATTGTGAACGCCCCACACCAGATTCGGGCAGCCGAGGAAGTCGCGGAGCTCCTCGGCGTCACTCTTCTCTATGTCGAACTCCAGCAAGCGGCCCTGGTCCCTCTTGGAGAAGAAGGCGCGGACGCGGCCGACGTGCCAGTCGAACCACTCGACGAGCTCCTCGGGCGTGCTGCCCGCCCCACTCGGGAGCTGCGGCAGACTGGCCAGGGTGATGCGCTTGTTCATGTCGCCGTCCACCCAGCTTGCCACGGACTCCGCCCACTTGTGTTTGTCGCGGACGTTGAGGATGAACAGGGCTTTCGGATACGCGTCATACAGCGCTGGCAGCAGCGTCATCTGGGGAAAGGAGCCCACCACCTCTGAGCCCCTCCACACGAGGCCGTCCATCTGCGAGATGGCGTCGACCCCCGGCAGATGGCCCAGTGGCGGCAGGCCCTCGTCCAGCGCCCGCTGCAGCAGAAGTGACACCAGCCTCTGCTCTGCCTCCAGACCCTGCGTCCGCAGCTTCGTATCACGCTGGGGGTTCTTCCCCGACTCGAGCGCCCAGTGCACGCTGCGGAAGCCGCAGGAGAGGAAGGCCTCCTGGAAAGAGGTCGTGCCGCACTTCGGCATCCCCAGGACAAACACCTGCCTGCCTGGGGAGGCAGCATCAACATCTCCCGCTGTGCGACCTTGGACAAACTGGTCCTGGCGCGTCGCGGCATCCCACTGCCGCAGACCTCCATAGAACTCTAAGAACTGCTCGCGGGCGTACAGCCTGCCATCTCGGGCTTGACGCAGCTCGCGGCCTTCGCATTCCTGCGCCGCGGACGCCGCGCCTGCGGTGTTCGGGCCCGACTGCGGGGGTGCGCCACGGGAGCACCGCGAGGAGCCCGCGTCGCCGGCTGCGACGCCAGCCCTGCCGGCCTCGTCGCCCACTGGATCTTGCACGCGAGCGGCTGGGAGGTTCCAGACAGACTCCTGCGTGGAGCGGCTCCAGTAGTACAATCTGCCGCACGAGTCTCTGTGACCCGACCACAAAGCCTGGGTACAATCCGGCAGTTGCCACATGGTCCTATTCTCCCAGCGGTGCCAGAAATATGTACGCCCCTGGACATTTTCGTCGGGGATCTCTACCCAATCGTCGTCCAGGAACACCATAACGACAAAAGGTACAACATACCTGGGCCAATTGCTTGGGCCAAAAACGCCAACGGAAGAGCATATACTTAATGCTGGGTCGCTGGAAACGGCAACTGCGACATTGTGAAACAAGCTACTGGGGTGTGAGGCACGTCTTGAGTGCTGAGGGTAGGCTGACCAACCATCCTGTATGATTGATGCACAAGCAACGCTTCTCGAAATAACGGGGCGCGAGATCAAAGACATGCTCGGACGCGGCCATACAAGTTCCACTGCGCTGACCAGAACGGCAGCATCGGCTTCCTCACGTTCGTGGAATGCCTTGGCGGCCTAAGCGGAGTGGCTAGGCTCAATCTGTGACCACGGCCCTGCTGATGAAAGAGAGCTTAGGGAATTGCTTGTTCAAGTACAAATTGCCCAGCTTGGTAATGCGCTCCTGGTCTGGCTCCTCCCCGTAACCCGAGTAGAACCCGTCTACGACCTGCATGCCGTCGCCGACCACCTCGCCGAAGGGGGAGAAGCCCCGCCCGTCCAGAGGCAGGTTATCCTTCAAGTTGATGAACAGCTGGTCCGCGCGCGTGTTAGGGCCTTAGCTTCTTCGTCTCTCACTCCTACCAGGTCATCCCCCTCCCCGATCCGATCCTCGGCCTGACCCAGACCCCAGACTCCCTCGGGTCGTGACAAAAATGCGAGGCACGATCTTGGGCTTTTTTCTGGCCTCCAGAGGCCCTGGTCAGGCCCTGGGCTCATCAGGAAACGGCGCAGGCTGAAACACCGCTCCCAGAGAATGGGTCGAGACCTCCAGCGGTCCACGACATAACAAAAATATATGACGCCGGGGGCTATGCTGATCCCATTCTACGTAAGGACCACATCCCAGAAATAATTTCGAGCACCCAGAAAGGTGTCGAAAGAGTGTCGAAACAGTGTCGAACGAGTATCTCCCAGGGCCCGGCACGTGAAAACCCCTGAGTTTTTGGGTACTTGATTTTCTGGCGCTCGAAACTCTTTCTGGTGATCAAGGCCAAAGCAGGTTGGAACATCATAAGTCGGGGATCTGGGACCCCCGTCCAGCCAGCCCCATCCAGAAGCGCCCGCCGAGAACCTCCACCGCACCTGGCCTCGGGGCCGACGGGGCCCCGCTCCTGGCGTGTCGCCTGGCCGGGCGCCCGGGGTAGGCGCTCGCGGCCTGAGCAGAGGACCGCGGTCTTCCCAGACAGCCGCGCATCGAGGTGCGCGAGGCGCGATGCTCGGCTGCCTGCCCCGCCCCCGAGCGACCCCCTGGAGGAGAGCGGCTCGCTGGCCTCGGGCCGCGTGCCCGCGGAGCGCGGCTCTCCTCGCGCCCCCAGCGGGCGGAGCCTGGCAGGGCCTCACCCCTCCAGCGGCTGGTCCAAATCGATCCCCGGGGCCCCTCCCGCAGGAGTGCAACATGGGCTAGCTTTTCGAGCTGGCGTCTGGCCGTGACCGCGACGGCAAGAGGAAGACGCCTAGCAGTTGCCTCTCAAGTGGCACAACGAACGATGAGCAGCATCAGTGCCCGTAACCCCTTGGGAGGGGGCCTGAGTTAGGAGGGGCCAGAACATTAGGGTTAGGAGTATTTTTCTGCAGATGTACCAAACCAAACCGCCCGAATTGACGATTCCTAGTGCAAAGGCGGGGACCTAGGTGAGGACATGCCTTCCTTGTGTTATCAGGGTTACACGTCGTTCATTTCTAATCGTGCTCATTTCTAATTGTGCTCGTTTCTAATTGTTCCTGGCCCCTTTGTGGCCAGGAAGAGGCCCAGAATAGAACAATTAGAAATGAAAGGATCTTGCCCCCCCAAACAAGCAAAGAACTTTCGAAAACTTAAAAATGAACACTGTGTAGGAGTTCTCTTGCTCTCGATGGGCGAAAACCCAAGCGGGCGACCGAGCCCTGGACGGACGCTCGCGCCCTGCGCATGGGCGCCGGGGGGCACACTGGGGCCCGGGCCCGCTGTGGCGAACGCGAGGGTGCCGCGCCTGTTGGGCACCCTGACGGGGTCGTCCTCTATGCTGGGAGCAGGCGGCCTTGCCTCCGCGGGCAGGCCGAACTGTGCCACGTACCCGGGGACGACGCGGAAGACGCGGGCCCCGTCGTACCAGCCGCGCTCGACGAGGTCCCTGAAGCGCCAAATTTTGCCCTCGACCGTGGGGAATCGCGGAGGCCTCCGGAGGCCTCTCGAGGTCTCAGGGGATCTCGCTGTGGGCTTTCAGGGGCGTCTGGCGGGGGTCACGATTGTGGGCGGCACGAAAACTGTCAAGCCTGAAGTGCTCCGCCCCGATGGGCGCCCACTCTGGGTGCACTCTGATGGTGACGGATGCCTCTCCGCCGCCGTCGCCTTCCAGGCTCGCACGGGGTCGGGAGGGGGCGGCCCAGGAACCCGCCATCCCCATGGACCATGGCTGACTGCCACCCCCAGACGCGTCGGTAGGGCGGGCCGAGCGGGTCGCCTAAGAATTCCTCACCAGTTACGACTTTGAAACATGTAACAATTGCACGGGGCTATCGCCGAAACGCCACGCACATTCGTTCGCAAAAGCTTGCAACATATACACCGGTGGAGCACGGGTGGTCTGCCAAATGTGGTTCCCGTGCCAGCGTCCCACACATTCGCCATACAAGTTCCTTCCAACTATAAGGATGGAAAGGGGGCTGGTTTTCAAAATGGGGCTCTCGCCTTCAGCACCGCGCGCATGCGTCTCAGCACATTTCAACAGTTACCTCTACGACCACCCTTCGGGTGATAAGGAGGTTCGGGGGGGGAGGAAACAACGTCTCACTCGATCGGTCTCACTATCGCTCTTACTATCGATCTCACTATCGGTCTCGCTCGATCTCCCTCGATCGATCTCATAATCGATATCACTCGATCTAGTTCATTCAATCGATCCCACAATCGATATGATCATCGATCTCACAATCGATCTCACTATCGACCTCACAATATATCACACATTCGATCTCACTATCGATATCACTATCTATATCACAACTGATGTCACAACCAACGTCATCATCATCATCATCATCATCGACGTGATCGTCAGACAAAGTCATCAACATCACCATCATCATCATAATCGGGACACAATCGTCATCACCACCTCATTACCATCATCATCAACATCATCACCATCACCATCATCATCATCGGGACATCGTCATCACCGCCACCATCAACATCAACATCATCATCATCGGGGCACCATCATCATCATCATCGAAACACCACCATCATCATCATCAGCATCTCATCCTCATCATGAACAACATCGTCAACGTCATCATCATGAATTAACATCATCGGGACACCGACATCATCATCAGCAACATCATCATCATCATGATCATCATCATCATCGGGACACCATCATCATCGTTACCATCATCATCACCATCACCATCATCATCGGGACACCATCATCACCACCACCTCATCATCGTCGTCATCATCGTCATCATCATCATCGGACACCATCATCGTCATCATCATGATCAGAATCCTCATCATCATCACCGGGGCACCATCGTCATCACCATCATGACCATCAGTAGCATCATCATCATCAACCTCATCATAATCATCATCATCATCGGGACACAATCATCATCACCAGCAACATCATCATCTCATCATTTCATCATCATCAACATCATCCGGATCACCAACATCATCATCCTCATCGGGACGCCATCATCATAATCATCAGCATCATCAACATCAGCATCATCATCATCATCATCATCATCATCATCATCGGGACACCCGCATCATCACCACCATTGCCATCATCATCGCCATCATGATGAGGATGACGATGTTGTTCATCAGCACCATGAATAACATCGTCATCCTCATCATCGGGACACCACCATCATCATCATTCGCAACATCATCATCAACATCATCATCATCGGGACACCGTCATCATCGTCACCATCATCATCGGATCACCACCATCATTATCATCGGGACACCATCATCATCAACATCATCATCATCATCAACATCATCATCATCGGGACACCACCATCAAAACCATCATCATCACCCCATCATCATTCTCATCATCAACGCCATCATCATCGGGACACCATCATCGTCATCATCATCAACAGTATCATCATCGGGACACCATCATCATCACCATCAGCATCAACAACATCATCATCATCATCACCGTCGGGACACCATCATCATCATCATATCATCATCAACATCATCCGGATCACCAACATCATCGCCATCATCATCGGACCACCATCATCATCATCAGCAACATCAGCATCATCAACATCATCATCATCATCATCATCGGGACACCATCATCATCACCACCATGGCCATCATCATCATCATCATCAACATCGCCATCATCATCATTATCATCATCATCATCATCATCATGATCATCATCATCATCATCATCATCATCATCATCATCATCATCATCATCATCATCATCATCATCGGGACACCGACGGGACACCGGCGGGACACCGCGCGGCACCGGTTGCCGGAAGGGAGACTTTTGGTCCGGCCGCGCCTCAGCCAGAGGCGGGACATTTCTTGCCCGCCCACGCAGCTTCGCCTCGCCCGCACGCACGGCCCGCACGAACACGAAACCGAAACCGATTTCCCGGTAGGGGGGCTCTCCGTTCCACTTCGACCTCATCCCCTCACCTCCGACGAAGATGGCGGGGAATATGTTTTGACATGTGGCTCTCGCCTTGGCGCCGCACACATTCGCTTAGAAGCTTGACGCAACTACGAGCATGTAGGCTGGTGGATGGCAGCTCCTTTTCAAGATGGGGCTATCGCCATAGCGCCGCGTGAGAAGGCGCGGGAGCTCAGAGGGGATCCTCGCTAGCCCCGTGCGAAGGAGACTCGATCCGAGGCCCTCGTCGCTCAAATACACAGAGCGATGCAATTCAAGGCGGAGGAGGGCCTCTGGGGCCTCCGCTGAGCACGTGGAAAAAGATGGGGCCCAGAGTGAGCCCTGGGAACATCAAAGATGCTGCAAAACGCCCTCCCGTCCCAAGTTCCCCCTCCCAAAAAAAAAGTCCCTACAAGGTCTCCCCACCACAGGGAACGCCCCTTTGAATGAAGATCAACCCACTTGCCTGCGATTCTGGCGAGGGCCCCGCTTGGAAAAGGAACTTCGTGGCAACCTTCTAGCGAATTACGACTTGTGCGAAAAACTCGGATCATACCGTTCAATAGTGTGTGTTCAACGAGGGCCCCGTGTTGAAAAAGAAGCACCCCACCGCCTGCGCAACGAATGCACAAACCTGCACGCATAGATGCCAGACCTTCTGGTGAATAGATCGACAAGGAAGACTCACGCGAGAGCCACATTCCGAGATGGAACCGCCCGCCGTCCCAGCACTTGTTGCAACCGTCCAAAACGAAGGTGTGCGCTGCTGAGTTTGCATAACAAACAGACCTCCATCCTAGCAGTTGCTACAACCTGTTAGGACGAACGTGCGCGGTGCTGAGTTCGAAAAGAAAGCGATCTCCATCCGCGTAGCTGATCCAAGCTTGTAAGGAGAACGCGCGCGGTGCTGAGGCGAACATTCAACCTGCGAAAGAAGCAACACCTCTATCCTTGCAACTGCTTCAGCAGTTTTGTGCGAGTGTGCGTGGCGCTGGGGCGAGAGCAACATTTTGAAAATCACCCCACTCCATCCTTTCAACCGCTGCGTGCTGTTGCACAGGGTGTTGCGGCGCTACGGCGAAAACCACATATCGAAAAGGAGCCGATGTCTGTATTTGTACGTGTTGAAAGGTGTGTAACAAATGCGTGCCGCGCTAAGGCGAGGAACCCTGCTTTGACCCCTGCCCTCCAAGCTTGTCGCTTGTCGCTGTTGTCAGCTTTTCCAACGAACGCGCGCGACACATAGTCGAGAGCCGCACTTTGAAAACCACCACCATCCACTGCAGTGACTGCTGCAACTCTACCCGAGACTGTGCGCGGCGCTTCGGCGAGAGCCCCATCTTGAAATCGACACCCCTCCGTCTGGCTGGCTGCTGCAAGCTTCGCACTTCAATATCATGCACGGTGAGGGCGTCTCATGCGGGCCGCCGGGACCGCCCGACCGACACGTCTGGGCGCGCGACGGGGAGGAGTTCTCTGCAAGGGCGAATGGTGCAGGGCTCGAGGTAAACAAACGACATCAAGACGAAAATTATTCACAAAATCGCCAGAATACCGTTTAGTTCGAGCTTTGCAATGGAGTGGGGTGAAAAAGGGGGAGGGGAGGAGGAGAATAATGGAAACAAGGGTGAATGACGAAGAAGAAAAGCAACAAGAGGACACATAATGAAGGAGAGGGTGAAGCCGCGGTCCCCAGGGGCCGCACGCTCCCAGCCCCAGCTCACCCTCATCTCCACGTCGAAGGTCGCCTGTCGGCGGGGCCTCCTGTTTCCTCACTCCTCGCTGCTCGTCTGCGAGGCGGGAATTTACCCGTATGCAGGAACCGACGTCCTGGGACCCCACGGGGCGGTGCGACAGCCTCCCGAGGTCCAGAAAAATCGGTGCCCCAGGCGATGGACATGGAAAAAGCCCACCCCTCTCCTCCAGGTCGGATTCTCGGCCACGGAGATCTCCACGAGCGCTCAGCCATCAGAAGCGCCACGCGCGAGAATGGAACGGCACTGCACGCGGTCGCGGAAAAGTGGCGAGGAGGAGGAGGAGGAGGACGAGGAGAAACGGAATGCCGCTTGCGCGCAGCACTCGACGTACAGTACAATGTGACTCTTACGAGCCCACCGGGCCCCCTCCCACCCTCCAAGCGCCAAATTCTCGAGGTTTCCCGAGGTTCTATGGAGGCCTCCGGAAGTCTCCGCGGAGAATGTCTCCGGAAGTCTCCATGACTATCCGCAAGCCTTCGGAGACCTAGAGTCTCCAGGTGCCAAAAGTCTCCTGAGACGGGAGCGCAGGCCTCAACAAGAAAAACAAGCAAAAAACAAAAAAACGGTTCCCATTCCTAATCGTGGTAGGAGGAGCGAAAGGGGGGCCTTCGAAGGAAGGCAGGGGCCTTCTCCAAGCCCTCCCGCATTGGAAAGAACCTTCTTGGCGAGCCCTTCGACAGGAAGCCTCCTGCCTTCTCAGCAGGCCGCCTCCCTCGCCCGAATCCCCGCCAGGAAACCGGCCACAAGTGGCCCTGCGGTGGGCACAAAAGAAGGTACCGATACCGCTCTTCGCCCCAGACCTCTCGCGGGGTGCGCCCCGGCCAGAATTTCGAGGCGACTCCCGCGGTGGCGAAGAGGGCCTCCCAGGAGGCCCAAGAAAGGGACAACGAGGGACGGGTAGGGGTATGGGAAGCTCTTCCTCCTCTGATGCAGGCCCTGGTCACCTCCAGGGGTCCATCCTTGGCCTGTCTTCCGAGCCGCGCCCTTTCGTCCGCGGCCACGAGGGGGCCCCAAGAGAAGGCCCAGGAAGGACGAAAGCAAGTCAAAACGACCACGGTAAGTCGACCATCCTCGATCTTCGGCGCGCCGCTCGGGGTGGACGAAAGAGGGGGGTAACAAATGCGGGTTAACGAATCAGCTGCATGCAGCTGGTTGCTCGGGGGCACCCCGCGGCGCTGCAAGCGCTCATGTGTACAGAGGGTGCTGCGTGGCGGCGGAGCCGACACCCGCACCACGCAACAGACCCCTTGCCCGATCCATACCTCCAGTTTGCTATGAACGAAACGGGTGGTCTAGAGGGTCGGGAGCGGCCCAGAGGGGGGTGTCCAAGAGGGGGGGGTGCAAATCATGACCGGCGGCATGTGCGCGGCCCAGCGGGGTCCAGGGACGTAATGAAACAAGAAGAGGCGTCATGAAATCTCGGGAAATATCCTGGCCCCCGCCATGATATCCCCCCCCCCCTAGTAATCATCCTCCTCTTTGCCGCCCCCGAGAGGGGAATCGGCTGCTGGACCCTGGGGGCCTCTCCCGGGCACCAACCTCTCCTCCCGAGCCGAGCCCTGCCAACACACCGGGCCCGTGGGCCCCGTGGGCCCGCGACAAACTCCGGGGCCCGCTTCCCTCGGGGAGCGGCCCCTGCCCTTCACGGCGGCCGCGACGTGTGCACTTCCTGGCGGCGGCGCCAGGGGCGCAGACAGCCGACGATCGGACCTGCGCAGTGCGCGGCCCACGAGGCCCGGACCCCCTGCCCCCCTCCTCCTCCTCCTCCTCCTCCTCCTCCTCCTCCTCCTCCTCCTCCTCCTCCTCCCTCCTCCTCCTCCCTCCTCCTCCTCCTCCTCCTCCTCCTCCTCCTCCTCCTCCTCCTCCTCCTCTCCCTCCTCCTCCTCCTCCTCCTCCTCCTCCTCCCTCTCCTCCTCCTCCTCCTCCTCCTCCTCCTCTCCTCCCCTCCTCCTCCTCCCCTCCTCTCCTCCTCCTCCTCTCCTCCTCCTTCCTCCTCCTCCCCCTCCTCCTCCTCCTCCTCCCTCCTCCCCTTTCTCCTCCTCGAGACTCCTCGAGCCTCCTCCTCCTCCTCCTCCTCCTCGAGCCTCCTCCTCCTCCTCGGTGCCATTTGTCCACCTGGGCAGGCCGATTCCACAGTCCCGGGGTCACAACTCGGGTCTCCGGCGGCCGTGCGGGACGAACCGGGCAGCCCGGGGACGCCCTCGCGAGCGAGGTGCAGCTGCCGGAACGCGCCCCGAGGCCGGGAGGCCGCCGAGAGCCGACGAGGGCGCCCGAAAACCTCGAACCGAAACTGGTGGGCTTCTTTTCCGCCACCACCACCATAAGTAGGAGGGAGAGGGGGTCCTCCTCATCCTCCTCCTCCTCCTCCTTTTCTTCCTCCTCCTCCTCCTTTTCTTCCTCCTCCTCCTCCTCCTCCTCCTCCTCCTCCTCCTCCTCCTCATCATCATCATCATCATCATCATCATCATCATCATCATCATCATCATCATCATCATCATCATCATCCTACACCTCCTTTCCCCCTCCAACTTATGGTGGTGGTGGTGGTGGTGGTGGTGGTGGAAAGCAGGCCCATCAGAAACCAGGATACGTCGCCCGAGACCTTGGGGGGTCCGAGTCGGTGCGGTGGTGGACCGTGCGGTGACGAGAAGCCCAAAGATGCCTCCCCGCGCGGTTTTGGGGACCCTGGAGGCCCCATACACCGAAGACGTCCTCGGACAACGACCGAGTCCCCAAACCGTGCGGTTTCCCCTCATCCCCACTGACTCACCGCACGGTGTGGTCACCGCACCAGTTGGGGACGGGAGCGGCAGTCCCGAAACGCGGACATGAGGGTGAACACCCGACCTGCCTGGCTGATGCTCTGGGAGGAGCCTGTGCTCAGGTGAGGCTGCAGCACCGCTAAACGATGTGCTGTTTAACCGAACCTGCAGGGTGGGCCCGTTCCCAAATCTGCGCCTCGGTGCTGATCGGTTGCGCGTCTCGTCTCCGTCGTCTCCGTATCCGTCGTCGTCGTCGTCGCCGTCGCCGTTGGCGGTGGCGTCGGCGGCGACGTCGGCGTTGGCGTCGGCGTCGGCGTCGGCGTCGTCGCCGTCGTCGACGTCGGCGGCGGCAGTGTCGTCGTCGGCGTCGTGGTCGTGGTGCGTGTTGCTCTGCTCGGGACTTGCTGTGACCAAGTTCAGTGACCACCACCACCACCCCGCTTGTGACCACCTACCAGACCACCCCAACCCAACCCGAAGACCCGCATTTCGGGTTCCGGGGGGGGTACGGATTCCATGTGTGTTTTCTCCATGTTCCCCGCCCCCCCCACACACTGGAAATGGAGGGCAACTTGAGGCCTTCGGGTGAGGCCTTCGGGTTGGGTTGCGATGGTTTGGTAAATTCGGCGGTGGACAAACCTCCCTTCAGTAAACCTCCCCTTAGTGAAACCGGCCTGGGACCGAAACCGACGGACCTGGACCCGCAACAATGACGGCCGCGACGCCCTCTCGCGAACCGAAAACGGCCAATTCCTTAATCGACGCGTCAGGGTAGGAGGTCTGTCCACCTCCGAAAATGAAGGGCAACTTCAGGCCGTCGGGTTGGGTTGCGGTGGTTTGGTCAGTGGTGAGCTCGGGGGCCCACGGTGCACGAGGAGATCCGGGGCCAGCGCCCTCCCGAGGAGGGCCTACGCCTCCATACTTGAAGAAGCACCAGCACGGCAACGCCGAGACGCTCGACCCCTGGAAGCCTCGAAGCCTCCAGCCGACGCCGGAAGACCTCGAATCGAAATCCGAGAACATCTTCCGAGATCTGGGGCTCTCCGCTCCGTTTGGAGGCGGCCTCGGGGTTACTCCATAAAATCGGTTGGGAGATGGTGATGATGATGATGATGATGATGATGATGATGATGATGATGATGATGATGATGATGATGATGATGGCAAATCCGCTCAACATTTTTCCCCGGAACCCTCCTGGGGTCGATTTTGTTTGTTTCTTCGCCCCGGATCCGTTCCTGACGGTTCTGGGGCCCGAAAAGAAGCCCCAGAGGCCGAACACCTAAAACCCGATTCGAATCCAGACCCTCGCATCTGCCCCTCATCCTCTCAGGAGGAGGAGGAGGAGGCGGAGAAAAGGAAAAGGAAAAAGAGGAGGAAGAGGAGGAAGAAAAGGAGGAGGAGGAGGTGGAAGGCATGGAGGGGGACGAGAAGGAGGAGGAGGAGGAACAAAAGGAGGAGGAGGAGGAGGGGGAGCAGTGAGAGAAACGGAAGAGGAGGAGGAGGAGGAGGAGGCCCAGGAGGAGGAGGAGGAGGAGGAGGTGGAGAATAAAGAGGAGAAGGAGAAGGAGGAGGATTTGGACAAGGAGGGGGAGGAGAAGAGACAGGAGGTGAAAGGCATGGAGGAGGAGGAGAAGGATGAGGAGGAGAAGGAGGAGGGAAAGAAGGAGGAGGAGGAGAAAGATAATGAGGAGGGCCAGGAGGAGGAGGGCCTGGAGGAGGAGGAGGAGGAGGAGGAGGAGGAGGAGGAGGAGGAGGAGGAGAGG